CCGGGCTGGGGATTCGAACCCACCACCTTAGGTGTACGTGGCTGGCGCCTTAGCCAGTTGAGCTATAGGCGCCGAGCCTGGCCATAGTCTTATTAAGTCCTCTCTATTCCAGGGATATAGCAGTGAAAATTAGGCCCACCTGTAGGAAGGGGTCGCTGACTCCAGATATGCTGTGTTCTGAGGAGTATCCTGTTGTCACCAGAGTCTGGAGGATCTGCACCAGCTTGGGTACCACCTGGATGAAGGGCACAACCTTGTCTGGGTATTCTTCTTGATCCTGTCCATCTTAAGCCCCATTCTTTCCCCACTGCCCCTCTTTATGGGGACCAGGGCCTGCCCTTTACCAGCCCACCTTTCGAAAGTGCCTGAGGGCTGCAGGACTTCTTTCACAGAGTTCCATGATCAGCGTGATGGTACCCAGCAGGATGCCTGGGGTTAGGGTGGGGGTGAAGTGGATTGTGGGCCAGGGGCAGGGGACAGTCTACAGCATGTGTGTTTGTGCCTCCCTCGAGCTGGTTTTGCCATCCCAGTGTTTACTTCTGGCCATAGCCAGACATGAAGAGAAGGAAAGGAAGCCCCATGGCCTTACCGTGGTGGTGCTCATGAAGCAGCCGGGCACAGGATGGAAGGAAGACACTGGAGAGCTCGGGAACTTTCCGGATCATGTGTACTGCCGTCAGAATAGCCTGTTGAGGTCAGGGGCCTCAGACAGGGTTCCACCAGAATGGACTCTGCTAACCTTTATTGTATGGCAGATGGGACAGTTTCTGGAGAAGCACCTGCCTAGAGTCCTGCCATCTCACCTTCTTGCGCACATAGGGGCTGGGCTGCAGGAGCAGTTTTTCCACCTCCACGGCCAGGTCCCGGCACATCTCAGCAGAGCCCATGGTGCTCAGAGTGCACAGGGCCAGGCCTTGTACTGGCTGAATCCCCTGGCTCAGGTCACTACAGGGTTAGGAGGATGGTTAGGGCAGCCTCTGAGAAAACCATTCTTTCCCAATGCCTATGACAGGCAGCCCCTGGGATTTCCGAGTTCCCCCTCTCTCCCATCTCCCTGATTTCATGTGGTTCCCAGAACTCTCTCACTTCTTGATGCTGTTGGTAATGAGCAGGTGGGCATCGTGCCTCTCATCCAGTAGGAGCATGGCCCCCAGATAGCCCACCCTTTTGTCTATGAATCTGGGGGAGGCGATCAGTTTCAGGCATTCCATCTACAGAGAAGGGGGCAGACCAGGAAGGGACAGAGGTGAAACCCTAGACACAAACATACCTCTTTTTTCCACCTTCCTCTTTTTTTTGAGACAAAGTCTCACTTGGTCACACTGGGTAGAGTGCCCTGGCGTCTGAGAGTGCCCTGTCAAACTCTGGTTCAAGTGATCCTCTTGCCTCAGCCTCCCAAGTAGCTAAGACTACAGGCGCCTGCCACAACGCCCAACTATTTTTTTAAGAGACAGTCTTGCTCTGGTTCAGGCTGGTCTGGAACCTGTGAGCTCAGGCAATCCACCCACCTCGGCCTCCCAAGTGCGTGAGCCACCGCCCGGGCTCCACCTTCCTCTTTCACATCAGGCTAACTTATGGGACATCATATCTCAGCAACAAGAGAGGCTTAGGAGATTAAGGTATTCATGGCTTGTTTCAAAGAACTAGGAATCGAGGAGGATGAGGGAGATCAGGAAGAGGTTCCCTGAATGGGACTGGCCAGAGAAGGGTTCAGGCCAGTTGATGACTAATGGGGGTTGCTGTGAGGGCTCGGAAACTGTAGAATGAAAAAAAAAATCAGGGCACAAACAGGTGAGGGGATTCGAGACCTATGATCCTCTAGCCTTCCTCGTCAAACTCAGGAGGGCGGTATCCCCGGCTTGTACCTGTCCAAAGTGGGCGGGGTAACCCAACATGTGGACATAGAGCAGTTTGGCCAGCTGGCGGTGTCTGTGCAGAGGGTCCCCATCGCGGAAGGAGGCCCGGATGTGGGCACACTCCTTCTGGATCACCTCCCGTTCTTGAGCCTGAGTCTTGGCGCCGCGAATCTCTTCGATTAGATCCTGAAGCTTTAGCGAAGGTACCACCATCCTGGGGGAGGGAGGCAGAGCCCGGGAGTGGAATGGGCTTTAACACTCTCTGGCCAAGTGTGCCTGACCTTTCTGCTCAGGCTCGTCCTGTGCCGCAACCCTAAGAGCCCATCTTTACCTTTTCCCCACGTGGTCTCCAGTTGTGCCCCCAATGCGCCGCCCAAGGAGTTCCCCCCACGCATGCGTCCAGTCCCCACCCTGTGCCTCTTCCTATTGCGCATGTGCCAGAGCTCCGCCTCTTCCCTCTACCCTCCACCTGGTATCCTATACCTAGCCCCCTCATTCTTTTCACCTTTAAGGCCTAGCGCTATTTGTTTCCGCGGGATTCCTCCCATTCCTCTCTCCTATCTCAGACAGCTTCGGCTTCCCGACCCCATTGCTCACCTGGCTTCTGTCTCAACTCTGCTTCTCTACCCCCCAGCGCTTCCTGGTACAGGGCTGAGCAGAGGTTGGTGCTCGGACTAGTTCTTCCCTCTCCCCGCCTCCACCACGGGACCCCGCCCTTCCTGGGCCGACCTGCTGAGCCTTGAATCCTGAGATTTCCAGTTTAGTGTTTAAGGGAAGGAGCTCTTATCACACTGGGGCGGGAAGACTGTATGACAGTCCTGGGGTCCTCCAAGAGGCCTTCTTGTACATCCTCAGCACCCGCAGAGCTTCAGAGAACTTGGATTTGAAGCCATCGCAACCCAAAGGAGATAACAGTCCCCCCCCTTTTTTGAACTTTTTTATTAATATATTTTTTTTTGTTAAATTTCTTTGTGTTTTTTTTTCCTGCAAGACTTGGTGTTGGCGGCACTGTTGTAGTTTAACGTCAATCCCAAATTCCATGAAATAGAAATCAGAAGTAAAGGTTGAGAGGGGAGGAAGGAGGGAGGCAGGCCAAGGAGTAAACAGAGTTTGACTAGAAAAAAAGAAGATATGTGGTGGGCATTCCCAGGCAAGGCCATTCCTTGAGGGAAGGGGTTGGCAGGCAGCTTGCCTCTGCCTCATGCAGGAGAGGGAGGAAAGATCCCCTGAGGACCCTACAGTCCCCTCTTCCTAGGGCTTCCTGCCCCCAGGGGAAAAGCTAGTACCAGGGATAAGCCACAGCCTCAAACAGGGCTCTCCACCCGACTCTCAGGACTGACTCCCACCTCTGTCCAGCCTGGAAAGCCTGTGAGAGGTCTGCTCCTTTCGATCCCCTCCTTCTGTTGTTTTCCCATTTCACAAGATTCTGATGCAACGGGGGAAGGGGATGTAACCCATTTGTGACTACTAAACTTGTCACAGCTTCTGTTTCCTTGTGAGCTCCTATTATCTTGTCTGGTTTCATCCCCCAGGAAGTGCCTCCCCCCCACCACGACTGGCAGAGTTGGGGCATGAGGCGGGGTCCTTGCTCTAGTGCCTCTAAGTAGTTATGTCTTCTTCAGGCCCCTTAGGAATTTAATCAAAGGCCACAAGTGAGTCCAGACCAACCAAATAAACTATTAGGAGAAAGAAGGTGAAAGAGATCAGTGGCAAAGTCTGGGAAGGACTTGACTGCATTGGATATTTTTTGTTCCTTTATACACACTCTGCTCTTGGCATGGCATGCCACCAAAGAGGACTGGAGGAGGGACTTCCTGATGAGGAAAGAAAGAGGGAGATGCTAGGGAGTTATTCACCTTTTCATGTCCCCTATCTGCCTCAGGGAAAGAACAATTAGGCAAGAACCTTGGCTCAGAACCTGCTAGGAGGTGAGATGATAGGTTCTAAGAGGTGGAGGCTGAACCTCTTGCAGCTTTTTCACTATGCCTTGGAGGGACAACAGATCCCTCAGGCCAGGGAGCCACAGCAGCTCAGCCAGTGCCTTGCCCAGCACTCAGGTACCCCTTCTTCATTTTCTTCCTCCTCTCCAATCAGCTTCAGGGAGTCTCCTCAGGACACCCAACCCCCACCTTCAGTGAAGTTTAGGTCTAAAGAAAAGGTGGGGTGGACGTGGGGCAATGGTCTGACTTAGATTTGTGTGTCTCAGAGAAGAGAGCAACTCTGAGAGAGAAAAGCCCTTCATATGTAAACAATCTAGAGAAAGAAGGGATTGGGATAGGAAAGGGAGTGAGGAAGATAGAGACAGATCCAGAATAAATGAGATAATCTGAAAGGAGAGGGAAAGAAAAAAGCAAGAGACAAAACTAAAGGGAGGAGGCAGAAAAGAAAGGAAAGGGAGATGAGAAGGAAAGATAGGAGAAAACACAACCAGGGAAAGGAAAAGAGAAAAAGGCAGGGCAAAGGGGTGAGAAGGCAGGCAACCAAAGCCAGAACTAGGCCAGGAAGTAGCCTCAGGTGAGGAGCTGGGAGAACAGGAACGCCAGGCTGAGGTCCAGGAGGGCCACGGCTCCCACCACCAGGGGGTTGGCAGCTCCCTAGAGAGACAAAGGTAGGGAACAGGCTTAGTCCTCCAGAACCAGAATCCACCTTCCTACCTTGGCTGAGGTGGCAAAGCCAAAGGGGGTCCCAGGCACCTCCCAGCAAACAGCGGGATGGGGTGGGAGTGATCGCCAGCCTTTATTTTTGATTGCAAAACAGCCCTTTTCTCCCAGGCAGGCCCCACCTTTCCTCTGAGACAGCCCTTCCTCCCTCTTCCCTCTGCTTCCCTCCCACCAGCATATCATGTGGCCCAGGCAGAAGGTGCCTGGCCTTAGTAGCAGACATTGGCAGCTGCAGCCAGTACTGCAGTAAGGCAGAGGGATGAAGGAGTGAGGATGTGGTTGCTAGGAAACAGAAGACTTAGAATCCAATCAGAGTACAGAATTCTGGGGAAACTCCGCCTCTCCCAATTTTCTGCCTTCTTCTCTATTTCCCTTCTTCCCAGGAGAGGGAGGGAGGGAAGAGTAGGGTAGGGAGGGAACAATCTTTTCCTTTTTTATTTCTGGGCACCAAAGAGAGAAAGTGTGGAGGTGGGGTGGGGGTGGAGTAGGAAACTGAGAGCTAGAAATGATATGGAAGGAGAACAAGGAAAAATGTCTGGCTTTACGTTAATTATTATTTTGTAACCTTGGGCAAGTTACTTTGAATGCTCCAGGCCTCAGTTCCCTCATCTGTCAAATGAATGAGTTGGACTTAAAGGTGTCTAAGTTTCTTTCAAGCTTGAAAACTTTCTATTTTTTTGAGGTGGGATATGGTCCAAGACTGGCCAGGCAGAGGGAGCAAGGTGAAATCCAAGCCCTCATGGGGGATCAGACAGAGGTCTAGAAGGGTGAGAGGCAAAGCTTTGAGAAGAGGGCACACAGTGGAGGCAGAGGATGTCTCACCGGCTGGGCAGGCCTCTCGGTTGCAGCAGGCTCCTCGAGCTCTTCTGTCAGGCACCCAGCATTGGGACCCCTTGAGGATGGGCCCTTCAGGACCAGCATGGTGATGGGCTCGGGCTCTGAGCCTCCTGAGGCCCTCAGCTGGGACAAGGGTTCTTCATCTTCTCCCTCCTCCTCTCGCAGACTTCCAGAACTGTCGCTGCAAGCTCCAAGGAGTGGGGAACCTTTTCTGGGACCCGGCCTCTGCATCCCGGCCTCGTCCTCAGCCTCATAGCCAGCTAGTTCCTCTGCTTGCTCACCTGGGCCCCCCCACTCCTCGGGCCAAGCTTTGGGGCTGGAGAAAGGACCCTGGTCCCCTCCAGGAGGCAGTGGGCTCCGGCAGGCAGGTGGTCGCCAGGGTTGGCGGGAGGAGGCAGGACTACTGGGCAGTTCAGGGGATCCCTCTGAAGGGGTCAGTCCATTCTCGTACACCCCTGGGCTGTCCTCATCCAGGGGCTCTGTGTCGGAACCTTCTGAGTCCTGCCTGGGTCTGCGGCCTGGGCAGGGATAGCTAAGAATCAGAGGGGCCTAACTGGCTTTGGGCTAGAGTGGCTGCAGTTTTAGTCCCCTGACTGGGCATCTCCCAGGATTCCAGTATCCTTAGGCTCATAACCTCTCATTTCCAGACCCCAAACCCCCGATTACCCTACTTCATAAATTCCCAGTCCAGTCCAGAAACAACCAGTCCAGGCCCCCGCCCTCCATCCACATGGACCTTTATACCTCTTAGCTTTTTCATCCCCAGTTCCCTTGCAGGGCTTCCTATCCCTCTGCCCCAAACCTGACCCTCTTTCACTCCCTAGCAGGCTCACTCCCTCCCCCAGGCTGCCCATGCCTCACCTGGGGCCTCTAGCATGGGTTGCAGGTCCTGGGCTATCAATTTGGCCATTCGTGCTGCCTCCACAGCCTTCTCGGCAACACTGGTTGCTGCCACTGCCTTTAGGAGGGCGTCTGCTGCCCTGTTGGGTTGGAGCACAGGGACTTAGCTGACACTTCCCCACTTCAAATTAGTCCCTGCTCAGATACTCCAAACCACTTGTCCATATCCCCACCATAGCACATCCTCCTGATCTGAGTTCACCTCTGGAGTCCTTACCCTTCCTCACACTCTGCCAGCTGCTCCCCTCCCTGGAAGGCTGGGCAGCAACCCTTTGGTTTTCCTCTCCTGGACCTGGACTGTGTTTACCGTCATCACACCTTCCTGCTCCTCTCACACCCTTCTACCATTACGTCCTGTAGTAACACTTCCTTCTTCCAGCCTTCCTGGAACTCTGTTATTCCATTTCTGTCCTGCGCCCTTCCCAGTGACAGCCGAGACCTCATTCTCTTAGCACATAGTCCTGCTTGGTGCTTACAAGCTATGCCTACCACCCTCTTTGCGGTTAATATCAACCACTCTCACCATCCTATTAGGAGCCTTTGCCTTCCTTTCCCTTTCCACTGCCAGCCCTCATTATTATTTCCTGACCTAAGAATTTCCCATCCTGCTTTCCTTTGTCCTCTTCTGTTCGGTCATTGCTGGTGTCTCTTGCCCTGCCTTATGTTTTGTTTTGTTTTGTTTTTCTGAGACAGAGTTTCACTCTGTTGCCCAGGCTAGAGTGCTGTGGCATCAGCCTAGCTCACAGTGACCTCAAACTCCTGGGCTCAAGTGATCCTTCTTGCCTCAGCTTTCCGAGTAGCTGGGACTACAGGCACCCACCCCAATGCCCAGCTAATTTTTCTAATCTTAGTAGAGATGGGGTCTTGCCTTTGCTAAGGCTGGTCTCCAACTTCTGAGCTCAAGGGATCCTCTGCCTTGACTTCCCAGAGCGCTAGGATTATAGGCACGAGCCACCACATCTTGTCCTGCCTCATTCTTTTCTAAGCTCTAGAACCAGAGCAAGATGGGCCTCCCCTTTTTGCTCTGATGCTGCCCCCTCTCCTTGCTAACACACATGCTTTCTCACTACTGTGATTATACCTTCTGGGTGAGTGCTTAGTCTCCCTTCCATGATTCCCCTTCTATCCTGTTCCTTAGGTACAGGTAACCTTGACACATTATTAATCCTTCCCCATTGTTATTTCTCAGTTCTCTCTGCGATGTTGGCTTCCTCAATTTTCTCTTCTCTTTCACCCTCTGCTGTTAATGGCAGATGACTATAACCTTTCACTTAGTTCTGTAATGCTGCCTGAAAGTGGGACACAAAGGAACAGATATAGAATAGAAGTAATCAGATGTGCTTACCATGGTCTTGAATGGATGAAGACCCATGACTTCCTTTAACCACAAGCCTATTTTACCTGGCTTAGGAAGGTAGTCTGTGTATGGGGGTGGGGAGAAGGAGATGATGTCCCCTATAGTTTTAGGCCCACTTCTTATTTATATACTTTGGGAGATATGGTCAGCCTTCTCTCCATAGTCCTGGTGGGTCAAGGACCTTTAGAGTCTGGTTGGAGGGATCTCAGAACATCCTGTTCTGTCTTAGGACTTTCAGACTCTACATGCCTACTCCTCTCCTAAAACTGAGCTACTCTCAGGGTTTGGGGCAGTGTATGAGGATCATAGTCTTGGGTTGAGTTCTCTTGGCAGCCATGAAAGTGGTGCATTGACAATGGCCTGTGTTTTTGTATGTGAAGGGTTTGGATGATCAAGTCCTATGTAGTGGACTTAGTCTGTGCTCAGGCATCAGGCCAGGCTCAGGCTACCTGCCAGAGGCACCTGCTGCTGAGGCGCTGCTGTTTCCATGGCAGCTGGCAGCCAATCAGAGTTGCCAGGCCTGTTGCTGGGGAGACCAACCAACCTCCTCTTACTGCCTGATCCTCTAGTTATTGAGATCTGTTTTTCCTGCACATGCCTCCACCCTATCTTGCCTAAAATGTTCCTTGGCAATCTGCCCTTCCTCCTCCCTGGCTTAAGGCCCTGCACTCTAACATCCAGACATTCAGACACACATACAGATGCACATTCTGTGGCTCAAGCATCTACTCTAGATTTGATGTGTTCACACACACACACACACACATACACACACACACACACACCCTGTCACCCATTATACAAACTCACTGAAGCATATTTAGATATACCCTGATTTCTGATCTTCTGAAAAAATCTCAAATTAAAAAAATTCCCTCAACCCTTTCAAAGAAAATTAAATATATAAAAATTCAGATGTGTTAGTTGTATAAATAAGGGACCTGTGTATCTTATTATGAGTGGGATTTTGGCTTTCTTTAGATTTGTGCTATCTAATTCAGTTGTCACAAGCCATAGTGGCTACTATGCACTTGAAATGTGGTGAATTTAAATCAAAATGATGTGCTGTAAGGGTAAAATACAAACCAGATTTCAAAGACTTAATTCAAAAGGAAAGTAAAACATCTCAATAATTGTATACTGATTACAGGTTAAAATGACATTTGGATATATTGGCTTAAATAAAAATATGTTATTAAAATTAATCTCATCTGCTTTATATTTTTTAATGTGGCTACTATTTTAAATTACGTATTTTGCTTACGTTATATTCCTATTAGACATCACTGCTTTTGATAGCAAAATTCCTCATACATGGGAATGTAATGTGATAATGAAAATTTCATTTACAGGCAAGATTCGTCTTCAAACCTTTGTAAGTTGGGTAAAAGAAAGCAGAGGAGGCAAATCTGGGAGAAACTCTCTTTTCAGATGGGTAGGTCAGCTATACCAACAAGACCTCCCCAAGGCCCAAGGCTGAAATGGTGTCAAGGTGGAATGTAGTTAGGAAGGGACTGTCCCTGTTCCATCTAGGGCTCATGCTCCCAGACTGGAGGCCTAAGAGGCTGCTGGATCAGCTGCAAGAGGAGGAAGACTAGGGACATATTTGAGTTCCAAGATGTTTCTTGCATAAAGCAGCCATTGCTATTCCCACATAAAACAATGGATTCCATAGACACACACATCCACACAAAAGACAGCGAGACACATTTATGGTCTTACAACACATCCCTCAAATACCTAGCCACCCACGAGTGACACCCACATCCACCTGTGGCCTCAGATATAAACACCCAAATACCCAAGGCTACAACTGCCTGTCTTTAGGCCTGCTCTTCCCGACCCCAGGCCTTAGGCCTTGAATCTTTGTCCTTCCTTAGCGATCCCCTCCTTCCCAGTGTCTAGTGCTTAGCCCCAGCTTTGTCACTGAACACTCACCTGGCAGCGGCGATCTCCTGGCGTTGGCGGGCAGCACTCACTGCTCGACGAGCGCCCTCGACAGCCCTGTCCACCTTCTCCTTGACTTTGCCCCGCCTAAGGGCCAGAGGCAGGAGACTGCGGACGCGCCCGCCGTGCACTAGCCTGTTGCGCTTGTACTTGCCCTCCTCACGCGAGCCGTCAGGGCGGGTGGTGCGCCCGTAGCCGTGCCGCCGGTTGCCCAGCCACTCGCCCTCGTAGCGCAGCCCGTTGGAACGCTGGCTCACACCGTAGCCGCTGCGCCGGTCGGCGCGCCACTCGCCTGCGTACACCTCTGTGGCCGAGCCCTCGATGAGGGCAGGAGGCGCTGGGGCTGGGGGCCCGCTGGCCTCGGAGCCCGGGGGTCCTGTGCTGCCCACCTCGCTGCTCACTTCGCTGCGCAGGGAGCCCCGCTTGCTGCCCAGAGAGCTGCGGCGCCCGCCCGCCCGGAGCCCGCTGAGGAGCAGCGAGCGGCGGAAAAATCCACCAGCCGCCGGGGTGCGCTTTCGGGAGGACGCTCCGTCGGCGTCCCCGGGCCCGGCCAGCACAAAGCCGCCCCGGGAGCCCGAGGCCGGGCTGCCTCCCTCGTCGCCGGGCAAGGGCAAGGGAGGAGGCGGCGTCGGGGGGTCGCTGTGGCCCGAGTCCAGGGAGGTGCGGCGGGGTGAGCGCAGCAGCGCCGCCTGATGGTAGGGCACACTCTGGCGCACCCCGTAGCCGTGGCGCTTCCCGGCCTGCCACTGGCCCTGGTAGGTGCCTGCAGGTGGGGTAGAGGTGGGAGCAAGAGTCAGAACCCGCTGCTACGTTCCTTGCACCCCTAGCCTCAAGAGCCCCTGGAAGCCCAAGTGTCAGGTGGGAGGGATGGAGACAGCGCATAGGTCGGGGAAGTGCAGTAGGAGCTGGGAACAGGCCACGCTGATTCGAAAAGTGTGGAAAAAACAGAGTGAAGACAAGCCGGTAGCTATCATTGGATTTTGGTAGAGTGCGTAGAAAGGGCAAAGGGGGTTGAGAGGGGTAGCTGGGGTGTGTGTGTGGACAGGCTGATGGAGTGTATCAAATAGGCAAACAGCATTCCAAGGGGCAAGCTGACTGAGGGAAGTAAGTGTGAGCGGACAGAGGAGACAGAGAAAGGGTGAGGGAGAAACCGGCGGGAGACAGACATGAGGAAGGGAGGAGGGCAGAAAGAGAAAGATGGGGACTGGGGGTAATATCACTGGGGAGCGGCATGCGGGACAGACGGGGGTGTGGGGACAGAAGAATGGGCGCAGGGGGTGCATATGAATGGAGAAGGCCTATGGGGAACAGCGAGGCGTGGGGAAGGCGCACACGGACGAGCAGACAGACAGTAGTGGGCTGGGCCCCGCACCTCCGTCGGAGTAGGTCTCGGTGCCGTAGCCGTCCTGGAAGCCGTCCTTCCAGAGCCCAGAGTAGCGCAGGCCGGACACGCTCTCCCACACGCCGCTGCGCCCTTTCAGCCCGCCCAGCCACTCGCCACGGTACGTCCAGCGGCTCTTGCGCTCCACGCCCAGCCCTTCGCGCTTGCCCTGCTGCCAGTGGCCCTGGTAGCTGTGTCCGCCGGGCCCCGTGAAGACGCCCAGTGACTCGAAGCCATGTGCCCAGCAGCCGCTGTACTCGCCCTGGGCGCCGGGCCCCGTGCACACGCCGTAGCCATGTGCCCGCCCCGCCTCCCAGCCCCCCACGTAGCAGCCCCCGTCGTCAAAGTCGAACTTGCCCCCGGGGGACATGCATGTAGTTGGCGCGGCCTCAGCCCCCCGGCGGCTCAGCGCATCCTGGGGCTGGAGAGCCGGCTGGGGGCCTGAGAGCCGGGCGAGGCCTGGAGGCGGGGGCAGTTAGACCGGGGCCGGGCGGGGGGGCCCCAGCGCGGGCAGGCAGAGCCGGACCCTCATCCTGAGTGGCTGCGGAGAAAGGGGGGGTAAGTGGTGAGTGAGGCCCCTCCTCTATGCCCGCCGCTCCCTGGCCCGGTGGCTCTAGGGCATCAGCACCGCCCCCCATCTTCCCCCCTCCTTTGGCAACACCTTCTAGCAGCTCCCAAGCCCCGGGGGTACGGGGGCTTTCCCACTCCTCCCTGCTTGGAAAGGTCCCCTCCCCTAACTTGGGGTCCTAAGCACAACTGGGAGTCTCACTTCTTCAACCTAGAACCCCGAAGTGTCCAGCATGGATGGCAAATGTGGGGGTCCCAAGAGGGGGCTGGGCAGAGTCTTAGGCCACCCGCTTTCCTGGCTGCTGTCAGGTTCCCTTTGCCCTGGTCCTTTGGCTTCCCTAGCAAAGAGGAGGCTGGAAAATGTACGGGGGAGATCGGGCTGGTGGTTTGTCGGGGGCAAAGGATGGGCATGGGGGAGGCTCTGCAGGGGAAAGGCCAGGATGGGGATGGGCAGACAGGCGGAGGGAGGGGGCAGGTTACTCACCATGTGGGCTGGGGCTCAGGCTGCCTCCCAGACACAGCATCCATGACAGGTACCTCCACTCCCACCTCACCCGGACAAGCCAAGCCCCCTCCCCTTCCGGAGAGACTGCTCCAACCCAGAGAGGGAAGGTGGGGGAGCCAGGAGAGAGTCCCCTCTCTCCCCAGCTGGAGAAGCAGGGTGGGGGGGCGAGGTAGTGGCAGGAGTGTGTGTGTGGAGGGGAGATGGGAATAGTGTAGGGAAAAAAATCTGCCTTGGATGGAGATAGGGAAGAGAAGCTGGGAGCTGGATGGGAAGGGGGAGGGGGCTATCAAGAGGGGGTGTTTTTATTATTTTTTTTCTTCTTATGGTTGGGAGAGGAAAAATAAATCAAAATTCCGATTCCATCCCAGCACAAATCAATGTTTGCTCCATCCCAGCATCACGGGGGAGGCTGGGCCAGGCAGATTTAAAGGGGCAGAGAGAAGAGAGGCGAGGAGAGGAGAGGGTGGGTAGAGGAGGATACGGTGAAGAAGAGACACAGGCGATGGTGGTGGGAGTGGGGGGTCTCCAGGCGCAGAAGAGGATGGATGCCTAGCTAACCCTGCGGTGAGGGAGGAGGAAGACAGAGGGGAGAATGAGAGGCACAGAGACCCCCAGGGTGAAAAGAAACCCTGGCATGCAGGCAGGGAGTGGGGTGAGGCGGAGGGGAGGAGAGAGGAGCGAGGGGGAGGAGACTAAGCTGAAGATGGGAAGGCAGGGGGAGGCCAAGCTGGGCGGGGGAGGAGAGATGCAGGCGAGGCCGGGAGAGGGTGAGAGGAATACAAAGGAAGAGGTGCAGGGGTGAGAGCTAAGGAGGTGGGAGATGCAGTGGGAGAGGGAAGAAGGGAGGGAGACCCATTCCTGGGCTGGGGACGGATGAGGAGGAGGAGAGAAGCAGGGGAGGAAGAAAGAAAAGAAGGGGGGAAAGAAATAGATATGGAGACAGCGAAATAAGGATTGTGAAGGGAGGGGAAAGCTCTGCAGAGGGAAGGGCAGGCGTGGGTATAGAAATCCAGGCAGGAAGAGCCCAGATAGAAGCAGGAGGGCCGGAAGTGGTATTTGTGGGGCCCCAGGGAGAAGGATGAACCTGCCAGCTGCTTGGACTGAAGCCAGACGCCTTTGGCATTGGATGCCTGTGTCCACTGAGTCCACTGCCATAAGAAACTGCTGGAGGGGGACCAGGAGGTTCACCCTCTTGCATTTTCAGACGAAGCTAGAAATGGGGCCCTGCCTGGGCGCCAGGCATCTCCCCCTCCACCCCTACTCCCTGGCCTGTCCCTCTGAAGGAGGAGGAGTGTTTTGTTTTTGAATGGGGAGAAGGGAGGTCATACTTGGTGATGCCAGGGAGATCCCAGGGCTTTGGAGTCTTTTCTTTTGCAAACCTAGAGGCACACTCACATAGGCATGTTTGGGTGGGGCCCTTACTGTGGCAAGGCCTCCTCCAGCCCATTACCCTACTTCCTGTCCATTTGCCAGAGGGGCAGCACATCCTAGGCCCTGGTGTTTACAGACAGAACAGGTCAACGCTGTCTTCCCTCCCCATCAGTTTACTCAGACCTTGTCTCCGGTTCTATCCCTTTCCAAGCATTGAGGAATGAGAACACTGTATCCAGTTATGCACAACAGAGTAAACAGTCAAATTTACCAATTGCTTTTATTTTCATTCAAGCCCATCCACCATCCCTCCCCCCCATTCCTACCCTCATTTTACAGAGATGAGAACTAAAGCCCAGAGGAGGAAATTACTCACCAAAGGTCCCACAGCAGAGCTGGCAAAGCCAGGATTAGAACACTAGACTTAGATTTATATAATTCTATATATTCTCCTATAATTCTTCTCAAGATTCCTTAAACTCAGGGGCTCCATTTTGAGTCATTTAGTGCAATAAAGAATATGTTTGGAATGAACAAGAATTCCCCTAGCATTGTGTTTTTTTTAAAGTATATAAGAGGTTGGAGAAACATGTAAATTTTAAGCCTCCAGGAAAGGGACCATATCTAATAAGCGCTTAGCACAGAGAAGCTATGGGTACACTTGAGACATGACTGTTGATAGTCCATTCATTCATTATTTCTCCAATCATCAAACAGCTACATAGTTTACTGCGTATCAGACACATTGCCAGGGTGCTAGAGATACAATGGTGAACACTGTGGTGCCTGCCCTCATGGACTTTCCTGTCTAGTAGAGAAGATAGACAGGTAACAAGCAAATTTGTATGGTGGGAATAGGGAATAGGGATGGAATCCAACTTAGGCTGGCTTGCTAGGGAAAGAGGATTTAAGATGCATCCAGAAGGGAGTTCTGGGGCAGGCCCAGCTGCATTGCTCTCCTCTAGATACCCAGCTTTCCTTCTCCACATAGTGCCATTCAGCCCCTAAGATTCCCCTTTTCTCCAAGAAAGGGGGAAAACTAGGGGGAAAAGGAAAATAACAAACAGAGCAGTGCCTGTGGCTCAGTGGGTAGGGCGCTGGCCCCATATAGGGTGGCAGGTTCAAACCTGGCCCCTGGCCAAACTGTGACAAAAAATAGCTGGGTGTCGTGGTGGGCGCCTGTAGTCCCAGCTACTTGGGAGGCTGAGGCAAGAGAATC